GAAGAGACCTTGAAAATGATGTAAATTCAGACAGCATTGTTACTTACACTGTCTGTGTCAGGTTAGTTGATCATCCACTGTAGACACGGTACTGTGAAAAGTATTTTTACAGATTTCTATTTTTGCAGATCATCAAGCATTTTCAGAAAAAAGATATCCCAAGTAAATACAAAAAGCCGTTTTCAAATGATGATTTAGTTCACCAGCGGGAAAAAGCTATTTAAACTAGCATCAATATCAAAGTAATTCCCACCCAAACCCTTGGCTGCAACAACAGCAATTATCCCTTTGCAACTACTGCCATGAGTCTTTTACATCGACATGAAGGACATTTGAGCCAAGTTTTTGTGCTTTTTTTCTTTTTAGGCCAGACAGCGTTTCAAACAGAAACAGCCTCTTTACGGTACATTCTAAAATATCTAAACGGATTTAAATCTGGACTTTGACTATGCTGCTTAATTCACAAAATAATTTCACAAGAGTCTCTAGGATTATTAGTCTGGTTTTGCATCAAATGTGAAACATACCGCTGTATTTTTTTTGTCTTCAGCTGATTTGCACATTGGATAATATTTTGGCCAGGCACAGTGGTCCAGTTGGTCGCATTGTTGCATTTAAGCAAGAAAATTCTAGGCTGAAATCCCAGCAAATATGTCAAATATGTTTTCTCAGAACAAACACAGAAAATTTGAAGATTTTTTTTTTATTATTATTGTTTTTCTCCTCCTAGTTATAACCCAAACAGCCCTATGACTGGAATGGGCATTGCAGACATCACATTACTTAGTGGATTTGAAGTGAAAATTGAAGACCTGGACACGGTTTGTTGTTCTATTTCCTTTTCAACGCTCATTTAACAGTGTAAAGAATAATTTCATACACATGTCTTAAGTAATTGTTTCCAGAAATGTTGCTCCAGTCTTTCTTCAAGGGATGTAAACCTCTAACTGTAAATGTAAAATGTGAACTATACACATCTGCAGGATGATAAATATTTTGAAAAACAATAAGGACAAAACTACCTGAGATTCTTTATTAACTTTCAATACATTTTAGTAATTAGGAGACATTGGAAACCAGTGACTTGGTTAATCTGCAGTTCAAATTCCCCCTATTTTTATTTATTTTTTTTATTATAAACTCAAACACAAGATTTTACAGATAAATATCAAATTGTGTATTCAATTTAATAAAGTTGAAACCAGTTACTGCCTCATAGAATCCTATTGTCAAATTATTTATTGTTCACATGTATTTAAGTTCTTATTTATTGCAGAGACCAAAAAAATCAATCCAGTAGTTACCCCTAATAAATGTTCTATTTTCTGAGAGTTGATTTTTTTTGTTTCCATCTCAGCTTAAAAAGCCCCCAGAGCAATACATTAGTCATTATGAGCTGTCATCTGGAAGATTGCTGATGTACTTCAATAAGGTACGGTTAAAATCAAGTTAAAATCAGGGTATTTCGGATGTCCAGTAGTAACATGGGTTTTCTCTTTGTCTCCAGCTGTATGAAACCAGGGAATGTGTGAGCTTTTCTGCTAATCAGATGGTGCCAATTGGCCTTTTGCAGCCTGCCCCAGCTGTCTTCTATGATTACTATGAACCTGGTAGTATATCCTTTTCTATTTTACATAATCTCTTAATGTCACCCATGTTGAATTTATTTTTTTTTTCTTTGCAGATATAAAGTGCACCGTGTTCTACTCGCCTTCACGAAGAAGCAAGTTGGTCTCCACGTTGTGCTCAGAGGATGTTTGCCAGTGTGCAGAAAGTAGGCACTCACTTCAAAAATATGAACACATGCAGTATCTAACCATATTCATACTGATTCACCTTTTCCATGTTATACAAACACAACCATTATTTAATTGAATTTACATGTAATTGACCAACATGCAGTACCACACAACTGTGTAATAGAAGGATCACTTTGATATGTTTTTGCTGCTCTGGCCCCTCAGGTTTGGGTGGAGATCCAACTCTTTTTGGGCTTGGGATATTGTTTAATAGCCTAAACCTGCTTTAAATCTTTCCACAACTTTCTCTTTGACCTGTCTGCTGTGTTCCTCAGCCTTTATGAGTCTGTTTTATTTGCTACTGTCCTCCAATGTCCTCTGAGGCTTTCACAGAACAGCCTCCATTAACACAGATTATCTTACATACATGCAGATTTTCTTTATTCACACATTTGATGCCATTGGATGCATAGATCACTGGCATCAGCAGGAATAATTAGAAATGCATAAAATCCCTTTTTCATTTTTTTCTAAAATAATGTGAAAATGAATTATCACTATTTTCAATCCTCAGTTTTTACCATTTTTTATTAACAAAAAATTATTTCAGCACCTAAACGTAAATTGCAGAATCATAATCACTTCTGATATGAAACTGATATGAAAAAAGGCATCTTAAAATCAGACCTGGTGATTGTTATGTTTATGTGGGTATAAAGAGTGCTGGAATGAAGGAGTTCCTCTGTCTAATTGGTTTAACTGGACACTGTCGCCTGGACTTTCACTATAATTTCTGGTCAACCAACATGAAATAAAAATGATCAGGCAGCACATATACTGACTCTTTAAGTCCACAAGCACTTTTTGTGCATCTGTGACAGGTTTTTAGCACCACATTTTGCCTGTTTTTCTGTTTTGCTCCATGAAGAAAGTACATGTATGTATCCTAGAATTTAAGAAAAAGACATTTGGACCTATGTTACGTCTGATAAGCATGTTTCACTTGTGGATTGCAAATGTCATTGTGTGCTTTCTTTAGGACCCTGTCATAAAGTACAAGAGACCTTCAAATCTAACCGATTCAAAAACATAAGGAAGAATACTCGTTTTGAATATGCATGCTTCTCCCCCCGAGTGGATTATGGTAAGTAGTCGCTACAAGAGTTTACTATTCTGCAAGGATATTGTTGGCAAATAACTCTGAGGATTTGCTGCATTTTTATCATTTTTTTATATCTATTGAGGGACACAATCCAATAAATAAAAAAACATCTAATATTAAATCATGTGCTACTTCAAATAAAACCGTGATAGGTATGTTTAATAAAAAAATCTATTATCCATAACAGACTATTCAGATTTGTATTTGTGTGTCTTTATACCAGCTTACATTTTAGAAGTCCAGGATATTTCTGTTAAGAGCAACTTTGAGCTGTACAGCACTAAAGTCGTCGACGTCCTCAAATATCGTAAGTGACCAACCAAAGCAACCAAGGGAGCAAGAAATAGAGGTTTTTAAATTCTTTTTGGGCTTTTTTATGGTTAGAAATATAATTTTTTTTGTTTACCAGATGGAGACCTGCGTGTGACAGTCAACAGTGTTCGGGTGTTTGCCAAAAGGCTTCAGTGCAAAGGGCAGCTAGAATTAGGAAGACAGTATCTGATTATGGGCAAAGATGGTTCCACTAAAGACTTAACTGGAAAGTAAGTAACATAAGTTGTATTGATAAAAATACAGTTTTAAATACACTGACACTGTTTTTTTTTCTGTCTTCGTAGCATGCAGTATCTGTTGGAATCAAACACCTGGGTGGAAAAGAAACCGCTAGATACCGACTGCAAAAAATCCGCAAACATACGTACTTGTAATGAGTTCAACGAATTTATTGACGAGTACAAAACCGATGGCTGCAGACAGTAAATGTGACTCATGAATCTGTTAACCTTTACTGCAATTTACACATTACAACTGATGGATAAATTACCTTCTGTAACATAAAAAATATATAAAAGTAATAATCACACTGAAAATAAATTACTTGCTAGAGCGCCACTTTATTTTTTCCAGTTAATGCATTGTTTTTATTTCCTCATGTTGGAGTTACATGATATGTAGCTGAAATAAACATGACTTCTTGTTGGGGAAAAAAATGTGTTTGGCATTGCTTGTGCATTCCAAAACTTACTAAGACTTTAAATTATTCAAGAGAACTGTCCAAAATGTTTTAAAGACGACAGAAAAGGTCCTGGTCAAGTTCACAAGTTTAAAATCAAAAGTACAGAATCTTTGCTGGCTGAAATTGGCAGCAAGAGGAAGTAATCAAGAACTGTCACCAGATTAAAGAGCCAGATGGACAAAAGCCCACAGTGGTTTTCAAAAGAACTCGGTGAAGCTGAAGAATGAAGAATCTGCACTCCAAAACATTGACATTAATTTCAGTCTGAACAAGCCTGCTGGTTAAATTTAACGAAGGTTTTAAGATGAAATCTGCAATTGTTTTGAATATTTCTGGGCTCCATGGTGCTAAGGTGGCCATAATTGTGGCCTGACTTGAACTCTAGCGAAACTCTCCACTACAAACTGAAAAAGGAGATTGCAGCATGCAAACCAAAGGATATTGATGATATGGAGGCCTCTGTCAATAAGGATTAGGCTAAAGGGGAATTCACATCAGTAGAGATTAGTTAAATCAGGGCATTAATTGGTGTATTTAACACAGATTATGCGTCTAATGTTCAGAAGTGCTGAACATAGACCATGGGAAATGATAGGATCATATTTATTACATTTGCAGCAGGTCATAACAATGAGTGGCTTCACTAAATCATGAAGATATTTGGAATAAAGAAACTTTGAGATTACATTACACTTCCAAAGCTGCACTTTCTGTTAAATTTGGTTAAATCACTTATGAAAAGTTCACATGAGCTTTTTAAATTGTTCCTGTTGCTGAATAATATTGCATTTACACTTAGAATGAAAATGCAATATTATTTGTTTTCCCACCTTTCTCCCAGAAACACGATTCAGCTGGGTTTATCTTAGCCGTCCTGTGAAAGACACTCATGTTTTATGTTATCTTTTGCTTTTACGGGCAGCTAAGGATCTGAGAGGTTTCTCTGTGCTCAATTCGCCCTCCTCTTCCTGCTTGACATCTGCAACCAGAGGGAAAAGGAGGTGGGAAGGAGTGGTTTGGGTTTTTCTTTTTTTTTCTTTTCAGGTCTATTCAGTCACTCTTATTGGTCGGCCAGGGTTCGGATCAATCATACCCCTCATAACGACCAAAATTCCCCTTAAGAGAGAGTTTATGTCTCTTCTCGAATGTGGTCCAGCAGGAGACGTGATGCAGAAGGTTCTCAGTGCAATTACATAATTCAGAGCGAACAGGAGCGGGGAGGCCGTCGGTAAGGAGGCTGTGAACAAGCAAAGGCTTATGTGCCTATATTATTCTAATCTCAAGGAGCAGGTCCAATGTAAGCAACACGGGGGGACTGACCGTCACTTCAATCATAGCCTGTTCAATGGCCACACTGTTCCAGCCTCACTATTAGACATTTCATTAAAGTCAGATGAAGAAAGGGTAAATAAATATGCAGATTTCCCATATACTTTTGGTTACTGTCAGCAGCCAACATCATGATTCGAGAAAAGGAGCTTTTTGCCAAAGACTTCTCGGAATAATCAATGTATTATCAACAGTGAGAAGAGTACACTTATGTCCCTTGGTTGAAATAGTAAAGACTGAAAAAGCAAATGCAATTTTTTTTTCTTTTTGAAGGATTTCAACTTTCTATTTGACTGATTCATGAGTAGGCTGCAGCAGAGGAAAATTTGTGAAAGATGTCTTTAGGTTGGCTATTTCAATGAAACCTAAATTAAATGAACGCAGTTTTGATAAAGATGCTGATCTCACAAATTTCCCTCAGACAACATCTAGAGGTTTACATAACCAGGTGCATTTTCTCAGGTGTGCAAGTCCTGGTAGGTGTTGAAGTGAGGCTCAAAAGGCCAGGTCACGGTCAGCAGCTTGATGGTGGTCCATGATGCAGAGAGGTATAAGGTTGGAGATGTTTTTGTAGGCTGCCATCTAACAGAAATGGACCACCTACTCTGGAGTTCATTTTTTCTTTTCATTGGAGGCTGTTATCAGCAATTTGTTTGCAGAAATGTCACCAAAAATCTATTTATTGCATAAGATTGTGCTTGTGCTTGGAGGTTGGATATGTTTTGCCAAAGCCTTAAAAACATATATTTTAAATTCACATCTGTTTAAGTCATAAGGAAAACAAATCCAGTTGACTTTGAGTCTTTTCAGTAAAAATCTCTTTTAATGTCCTATTAGGGTTTGGCCATTTACTGATAAGGATGCACATTTTCAGTGTTATTACTTGCATTAAGAAGAGTACATATTTCTGTTTTTTTTTTTTTGTTTTTTTTTGCACAGAAATACAAAAATACCACCAAGAAACCACAACAAAGAGCAATTCCATATGGAGAGTAACAGATGAATCAGTAGACTTAGGTATAAAGTGTTCTTCTTTAATACTGTAATCATGACCGGAGATTTTTTTTTTAAAAAGTGTCTTTTTTTATTTTTTATAGAATTAGTAATGTAAAGGAGAACAAAACTAAAAGAATGACAGTGTAAAAAACCCCATACTGAAGAATTTAGTTTCTTCTTAATGTGTTAACATTATTTCAAAGCAGATCAATCTACAGCACCCTCCACACTTATTGGTAGCTTCTGAAAATGAGTGACCACGTGGTGCTTTTCCACATGTTCATCCCTTGTTTGTTCCTGTATGCAGTGTTTCCTGTCCAGAAGCTCAAATGTAGTTTTATCTGAAAAGGGTCCTGTCAGTCAGAATAGGGTTTAGGAACCTTCTTATATATTTGCATTTGTAATATGAGAGAAAAAACCTGCTATGCATCAGAAATAACCATTTGGCATTTTGAAAAGGAGTAATGGATCTTACACTTCTGGATCATTTCTGTACCTCATTTTCTGTCCTACTTATCGTTTGTACTGGTAAGATAAACTTGAGTCATCACCCGGCCTCCCTCGCCACTGTATTTGAATGATTTTGTTACATTTCTTAGAAATGTCTTAAAGTTAGACAGCAGCCCCCACTCACTTTGTGTCTATGTGGTGATTCTACGTATAGAATATGAATACATAAAATATCGATGTCAATGTCATGGTGAAAGTGCCGCACTTAATACAATAAAAGGCTGTGACGATCTCAGCTGCTGTTTCTGACCTCCTGCTAACGTGCAAGAGCGTCACATACTCCCTGTTTGCTCTAAGCCTTTTATATCGTTTTCTTCATGTGGTTTACAAAAGGTGGGATGGTGGGTGGCCATTGGGTTAGAGATGTAATGCCGACACAGAGGATTCCTAACATCCTGAGGATGGTCGGTTGCTAGCATAACTCGCGCACAGTTACATCTCATTACCTTCAACAAACAGCCGATTCATATATCTGGGGGGTTTCTGTATCCTGGAGTCAGTGCTGGATACTTACAGTGTTGGGCTTTGTATTCCAGCTGAATCATGGATTTACAGTGTGCAGATGGCAGCTGCAGCTGAAATAAGTCAAGACACTTGCAGAACATGTTCAAATCAAACTGTATGCGTAGCTTTGCAGTGTTTTTCAGCTTTTTTAGCAACTAAAACATGATGTACAAGAAATTAATAATATAGTTATATATACATATATTAGTAGATAATTTTGCTTTTCATTAGAGTAGACGTCAGGAATACATGTTAAATGAAATAATGATAATTTTCACAGAAAATGAAAGTGGTACATTTAAGGTTTGAGTGAGTGCAAAAGTTTCTGTTTTTTTGTAACTCCTGCACAAATATTTTTCCCCGTGGTCAGGCGTTGAGGGACCAGTAGGCGTGGTGGAGGTGTGTTTGTAATAGGAAGGTGTAGGAGGTGTTAGCAGGGCCAGTCTTCATCACTCACCTCCTTTATATTGGGGGTCCCTTTTTCAAATCTTTCCTCTCAGATCCGATCCCGTCTGCTGGAGTTGCTTTGGCTCAGATGGCGTCAGAGACATAAAGCAAACAACTCATTCATCAGTAGGTAGGTTTTCTTCTCCATAATTATTTAAAAGAGAAAACTGGACTCTTTCGAAGTAATAATATGTAGCATTTGCTCCAAAGGTAGACATGACAGTGCACATATACTATGTTGTGTTGCAGTATTATCTTGTATCTTGTTTTGTGTGAATTTCTTATTTGTTGTGATTTACATATAATTCTTTTCATGATGGAATAAAAAATACATGGATATTGTATGCAGGTTAAAAGTGTGTAGGTTGTTACAACAAGTAAAACTTTATTATAGTGCTTAAAAAAATAAAGGCACACAAGTTTTCTTAGTTCTCCTGTTTGATTCTTCATAAATTTATAACAGCAATTGGACATCTGTGGGATTTTTAGAGTTTTGGCTCCAGTGGTTTGTGCAGCTTTCTGTACCTTGAAAGGTGTACCTTGTCTCGCAGTTCAGTACAGTGATGCTTTGTTACTGCTCAGCCTGCTCTTACTGGTTAACTCTGGGTTTTCCACTCAAGTCTTGCTTCTTCCTGATCATTTAAAAACTTGGTTTGGCAAGCTGTTCAGTTACAATCCAGGGCTGTATTTGTAATATCTATGTTAGAAAATTCAGTTTTAACTATGTAAATGTGCGTACATGATTATTGCATGTAAAATCCATTAGTTTGGAGGATTTTATGTCAAATCAAAATTGTATTGTTTTGACTATAGCGTAGTTATTACTCGTTGTAACATTAATATGAAATAAATCAACCTCTACCCAATGAAATATTCTCTTCTGTTTATTAAACTTTGTCCAACTTACAGTCTCTTTAAAGAAGGTAAAGACTTTCAAAGAAGTCTGTGGTGGAGTGTTTCATGGCAAAACACTACCCAACAAATACACTTGTCATAAATATGACTGATGTAAAAAATACCTTATCTAAAGAGTGTAAATGGGAACTCTGTGAATCTGGAGCGAACAAGGACCAAAAATACTCATATGATCAGAAAAAGTGTGCTAGAAACTTAAACACATTAAAAAACACATAGATAAGTAATAATAATGATTTTCCTTTTTTCATCTATAGGAGAGACC